AGCAAATGCCTCTCCAATAAATAAATAAATAAATAAAATGAAAATAATCATGTATATCCTGTGGACTCAAACTATCAATAATACCCCATAGGCCATTTATGCCCAAGGGCCACAATATCGTCCTACACCTATACACATTAGTCTGCTTTTTTCTAATATTCATTTGTGTCAAGTTCTCCATCATAAAAGACCTAGTCTCACAATTATATTTTCTTTATTGATTGCCTCAGTTCTCCATCCCAACATTTCCAAATGAGAAATTTGAAACATATCGAAAAGTTGAAATAAATTGACAGTAAACATTCATATCCTAATCACCTAGACTTTGCTGCTCATTTTTTACATTTGCATTACCATGTATCAATCCATCCCTTCATCCATCCATCCCTCAATTCATCACATTTGACGCATTTTGAAATCAGTTACAAGGCCAGCCTTTTAGTGCAGTGGTTAAAGGAGTTGAATTCCCACATGATGACTGTGGTTTGAATCCCAGCCTTGGAGGCTTGAAAAACAAGCCAGTCATATGTGCATGTATGCTCAACATCCCCATAGAATAGAGAAATAGAAGGGATTACAACATGACCACCCTCCACTGTAGGGTACTTTCTCACTCTATTATTCTGTCTCTCTGGTGAGTACATGCTACCTCTGACATCCAAAAAATAATCAGTTACAGAGACCCATACCCTTCCCCCAAATACTTCAGCATATATACAATTAACTAGAGCCCAGTATTTGTTCAAGATTTTTTTCCCTTTGGAGGTAAACTTTATATAATATTGAGTCCTTGGGAAAGTCATGTCAAATTTTTGCATAGAAAAATACATCAAGGGGCTGGCAGGTGGCATGGTGGTTAAGGGCGCTGGACTCCCACATAGCTGACCACAGTTCAAGTTCCAGACCTGTTGGCTTGCTTTCTCTTTCTTTTGTTCGCTCTCCCTCCCTACTTTGCTCTCTCCCTCCCTCCTTCCCTCCCTTCCTCTCTGGTCAAATTAAAAATAAATAAATAAAGTTAAGTAAAATAATTATTTTTTAAAAATACATCATGACTTTCCCAACTACATAATAGAAAGTTTACAAATCGAAGAACCCTGAGAAATTCACTGTAAGAAATATTCTGTAAGAAACAGAATATTACCATCACCCAAGGAAGTTTCCCCAGGTATTTCTTAGTCAATCCTTGTCCATTTGCCTCAGAGTCAACTACTGTTCAGATTTTTTTTCCACTATGGAATAGTTTTATGCTTGCTCTAAAACTCTACTTTTTTATGTAAAGGTCCTCTCACTGAGCATAAAGTGTTTGAGATTCAGCTGTAATGTTGTGTGCATTAGCAGTTTGGACTTGGGCTATTTTCCAGTATTGCCTAGTCTAAATGCTTTGGTTATTACAACTGCA